ATAGGGCCTCCATTTCCTAGTCGTCTTTTGCCAACATTAGGGCTCCAATCCCTGAGCTGAATGTTTTTAGACATAGGGACTCCATTCCCTAGTCGCCTTTTACCAACCTTAGAGCTCCAATCCATGAGTTGAGTTTTAGACATAGGGCCTCCATTCCCTAGTTGCCTTTTGCCAACATTAGGGCTCCAATCCCTGAGTTGAGTTTTTAGGCATAGGGCCTCCATTCCCTAGTCTCCTTTTACAAACATCCGGGCTCCAATCCCTGAGTTGTGAGTTTTTAGACATAGGGCCTCCATTCCCTAGTCGCCTTTTACCAACATTAGGGCTCCAATCTCTGAGTTGAGTTTTTAGACATACGGCCTCCATTCCCTAGTCTCCTTTTGCCAATATTAGGGCTCCAATCCCTGAGTTGAGTTTTAGACATAGGACCTCCATTCCATAGTCGTCTTTCGCCAACATTAGGGCTCCAATCCATGAATGAGTTTTTAGACATAGGGCCTTCATTCCCTAGTCGTCTTTTACCAACATTAGGGCTCCAATCCCTGAGTTGAGTTTGTTGACATAGGGCTTCCATTCCCTAGTTGCCTTTTGCCAATATTAGGGCTCCAATCCCTGAGTGGAGAGTTTTTAGACATAGAGCCTCCATTCCCTAGTCGCCCTTTATCAACATTGGGGCTTCAATCCCTGAGTTGAGTTTTTATACATAGGGCCTCCATTTCCTGGTCACCTTTTGCCAACATTAGGGATCCAATCCCTGAGTTGCGATTTTTAGACATATGGCTTCTATTCCCTAGTCGTCTTTTTTACCAACATTAGGGCTCCAATCCCTGAGTTGAGATTTTAGACATAGGGCCTCCATTCCCTAGTCGCCTTTTGCCAACATTAGGGCTTCAATCCCTGAGTTGAGATTTTAGATATAGGGCTCTATTCCCTAATCTCTTCCTCTTAAACAGTCACAATTTTTAATTTATTGCTTAAAAAAAACAACAAACAAAAAAAAAAGAAGAGGGAGAAATAGTTTAGATTTTCGTTACAAATAACTCACGAATTTTCTGGTGAAAATTGGGGCAGAAAAATTTCGTTCGTTTGTTTGTTTTGGTATCTGAGCAGGTTTGACCTCGAGGCACAGGATTCGAGATGACCAAAAGAATGAGTCTCAATCCAAAATAAAGAAAAAGAAGAAAAAGAAAAAAAAAAGTGAACTCAAAGTGCTGAAGTGGAGAAGGACGCGGACTGCTCAAGATGTGATTGAAGTCACAAGCTTCACATGTCCAGCCTTGATCCAAAGCTGAAGAAAGAACCAGCACCTACGGCTAACGAGCATCAAGATTCAGATCGGAGTCTGCAGCAAGACCTAGCTAAGACTCAAGATCAAGCTTCAAAAAATTTATAGATAGGAATCTTGTAACTCGTAGTTGATAGGTTTAGCTAGATTAGCTTCTTATTTTTTTCATTTTGGTGTAACAAGGAGCTCAGCCAGCAGAAACAACAGCAACAACAGTGAAATCACTGCCCCCCGTTAGTCCCAGCTACCAAAACTTTCAGAACTACACTAACATGATTCCTTTATAGCCAAGGATATGTAGGTGACCTCTGAAACAAGGTTCGGTCAGACTCCTTCAAAAAATGCTTCTCTTGGAGTTTCAAATGGGCAAAAATCCCTCGTAATTGCTCATTTTATCTTTGCTCGAAAACCCTTAGTGTCTCCGAGCAAAGAGGGGCAGCTGTGAGCACGTGATTTTTGCCATACATGAAATACTCCTACAAAATCTAAGAAAATAGATTTTTTTTAATTATTTGCCATTTTAGGAATTACTAATGGTTTACATTTTCCTTGCTTGTTTAATTTTTATTTAAATCATGAAAAAAAGAAAAATAATAATAAATACCAATATATATATATATATATATATATATATATATATATCATGCATTGCATTTAGGATTTGTTTTTACATTTTTAAAATTATTTTGAAAATCACCAAAAAAATAGCTTATTTTTACATTTTTTGTCTTTTAATCTTTTGTTTTTTGATTTTTTACATTTAATGTAGAATTAAGCGTTGTTTATAATTTTTATAATTATCTAAGTAGTTTAATTTCATATTTTTAGATAATTTAGGACTTTTAATTTTAGGATCTTTAATTAAAAAAAAAAGAAGAAAGAAGAAAGAAAAGAATAAAAGAGGTTAATTAAAGGCAAGGGTTTTTATTTGGTTTTGGGCCAATTTAAGCACCCCAATTCGGCCAATGGCTTCCACACCTCAAAACCAATTAACCACCAGCCAAATATTTCCCTCTAGAGCCCCAACTCAAAGAAAATCGGACCTGACCCACCAAAATAACCCGCCCATTTGCCCTTAATATAAACCCCCTTTATAATTTTTTCCCCCATTTGAACCTTAAACCTAAGAAGTCAAAGATGCGATGCCCCTTTCTACTGTTCATCTTCCCCAACTCTCAACTCGCCCTCAACTCACCATTAATTCACCCGAGTTCATTCAAAATGGTCCCCCTCCACGTCATTTGATTCGTAATGGTTTTTTGTCAGTGGGGAGTACGAATTTTCTCTCCCAAATAGCACGATTTCGGATTCAAAAGGACAATTGTTGGACCAATGGGAGCCGTGTATAGATGTAAATCGATCCACGCCTTCCATTTGTCCCAAAAATTATTCAAAAATTTGAAGATTTCAGATATTTTGAGCAGAAGATTCGAGAATTTTCGAGGGTTATATATAGGAGGTAAGTCTTCTTTTTCAAAGTTGGAGGAAAATATAAAGAAAATAAAAGGAAAAAATCAGAGAGAAAAGATCGAAAGAAAAAATCTTCAGTAGCTGGGTCAAAATTTTCTAAGGAAAAACTCACTGGTTCGAGTTCTTTTGAGGTTCTGTTTTCTCAAGAAAACTCGATTTTAAAATTTCAAGTTGTGGTCGACTTTGTTTTGGAGCTCAAATTTCTACAGTGTTTCAGTTAAGCTGTTTCTGGGTCTGTCGCTGCATATCCTGGGTTGCATTGCTGCTTTTGAGGTGTTGATTTCACTCTGTTGTGGTGCTGCTGTTAAGAAGCTTTATTTGGTCATTTGTTGGTTAGTATACTGATATTAGGTATGTGGAACTTACTCTACAACTATCTTCTTCTTTTTTTGAAATGACAAGTTGAATTCTTAATGCCATGACTCTACCTACTTTTACACATTTCTGATGTCAAATGCTGGATTTTTTATCTTTTCCTTTTTCTATACTTTTGGGTTGACGTACCTGATTGTATTTGTTTATTTAAGTTGAGCACCATTAAGCTTTTGCTATAGTAGAATTGATTGCTGGAATTTTGAGCTAAAAATGGTGAGGTTCTGGAAGGTTGTTTGATTTCTTTTTAGATGGATAATGTTGCTAGAGTTTTAGAGGTGATTCATGGTCTGAGAGGGGATTTGTTTTAAAGAGTTTTTTTATGTTGGATTTATAGGGATTCCATGTCTGTTTTAGAGGTATTTTAATGGAGATTTTATGGTAGTATCATGGCAAAAAGCTGTTGCATTTTGGTTTATTTACTGCTGAAAATCTTTGCAAGGTCTGTTTGTGGTTAACTTTTCACAATTTCAATTCAAGTTGCATATTAATCAACGTGAGTCATTGGAGTTGTTCAAATCTTAGTCTTTTGTTATCCCTTTACTTGTTATTCCTTTACTTTGATTCTTCTTTTATATGTATAAATAAAACCTCAATTTCATGAATATACCTATATTTTGAACCAAAAAGAAGTAACCTGGTTTGAGATGAACAAGCTTCTTTGGGTCAGTTCCTTTTAAAATAACTTGTTAGAAAGGAGGCAGATTTGGCCACTATTAGATAAATCTGTAACAAAGGACTTTTATTCTTCTCTTTATGGTTTAGTGGCTATTTCGTTACCTAATATGATGTTCTGTTTTCTCTACATGAATGACCACACGTAAAAATGTCAATTTGTATAGCTATTAAATTTCAACAATTTATGTTTGCTCCTCTGTATTGCCGGTAACTAGATTTGAATGAGTTCATGTGTTGTTTTAATAATATTTTGTCGTCTCCTTTATGAGTCGTTTTTGTGGAATGTAAAATGATAAACTTCAGATTTTTTTTACAGATTTCTTTAGTATTGATGATTCACATGGACGAGAAAGCAAGTGAACTATCCCATGTGATTGGATTGGTTAATAAGGGTGAAGATAATTTTTTAGGACATTCTCTTAAAGGTTGAAGCGCACACATTTGTTTCATATGACAAGGTGGCTAATATCTTGATGTTTGAATTACTGGATCAGCGTTGTGGCAGTAAGTGTGCCCGTTAACCATCGATTCTCCCAAAACGATCTATGTATTGAATTTTAGCAATATATTAAGTTGAAACGTCTGAATAAATTCAAGGTATAGATTATGCTTTAATGATAATGATAGCCAAACTACAACCTTCTTTGACAATAATTATGTATCCATACTTCCATGACCCTGACAAATATTGCTTTTTTTTAATAAACAAAATTGAATATTTGTAGTTTGCTTTAGGCCCGATTTAGATTAGTATTGCGATTAGGTGTACGTTCGCGTAACTTAATTGCAAATTAAATTCTTAAAAGACTCGAGGTATGCGTTCGCGCAACTTCAACCAAATTTTCTTAGTAAAATAAACAAAGCATTATTAATTGTGGATACGTTCGCGTGACACGATTTTTGACGCGCCTAAAAGAAAAGAGTATACGTACGCGTAACTCCATTCTTTAATTACGAAAAAATCAAGTGATAAAAAGCGGTTAAAAGGTAAATGCACATAGGTCTTAAAAAATGTGTAGTTGAACAATTAAGCCAAGCATAAATTGCTAAGCGACCGTGCTAGAATCCCGGAACCCGAAAATGCCTAACACCTTCTCCCGGGTTAACAGAATTCCTTATCTAATTTTTGGTTCGCAGACTTCAAAAGGAAAGTCGAAATTTCCTCGATTTGGGATTTAAAATAAACCGATGACTTGAGACACCAATTAAGTTATCCCAAGTGGCGATTCTGAAATCAAATAAATAATCCCATTTTGAATAATGTCACTTAAATTGGAAAAACTCTCTTATATCCCTTTGGGGGGGAGGGGGTGTAAAAAGGAGGTGTGACAAGTACACTACAACAGCACCCAGTAAGTATCATGTCAAAACTCGATAGAGTAGTGACGAGGCCAGGTCGAGACATCTAACGAAAAATTAAGGCAATGGAAAGACAATAAAGCAATTTATCAATACAAGGCTAACAACAAAATTAAAGCAACAAATGAAAACAAGAAATTACATGTAGTAAAGACAACAAGTAACCAATTACAACCAAAATATACGAATGGAAGGAAATAAGAAAACAAGAACAACAACAATTAAAATCAACAAGCCTTCGAACGTAGAATGTACAACAAGAATCAAACAAAAGCACCACACCTTATATTCACATTTCACAAGTCATGATCAAAATCTTCCTTATATCTCCACGTGAGCCTTGCGTTTATATTTTTAAAAATATTTTTCCAGAAATAGCTACACTCTCTTTAGCCCCCTTATCTCACTATATGGATTCAAGTAATCCTCTTACTAGCAACACGCGTATAAATCCCACATTATCTCGCCGCATGAACATTAAAACCTATCCTTATACCGCCACATGCACATCAATATCACAACACAATAATCAACTCGCACCACACATGCCCATATGCCACAACATTGCTAAAATCAACAATAGCAATGTTACAACAACATATAGCCCAAGGCTCAACCACGATGTGTACACGAATCTCAATAACAACAAAAGGGATGAGAAACAACTCAACAATTAAAAACTTCAACCATAATGCGTTAGTAGCATTCACACCTACAACTTCAATAACTCTACAATGAAGGTATTCCCATGAAATGACAACTTTGAATTCAAATACATGACATAATCTTAACAATGAAAGAGATAGCATAAAATAGCGACTAAGTCTAAATGCATGAGAATAACTCAACAATGAAAGGAATAGCATGTAACAACTACTACAAGTAAATGTACATAAGTGTAACTTGACAATGGAAACTAAAACATGTAATGCCAATTTCAATTAAAGCAAGTGAGAATAAAAGTAACAACGAAAGATAAAACAAATAGTAATAACTTCAATTAAGTTCTTATAAGTAATCTAAGAGTCTAAACCAGTCAAACACCATATATAAGACTGTGTACACACTCGTCACCTCATGTACACGTCTTCCACATAATTCGAATAGTACAAACAACTCAAATCCTGAGGGGTAGTTTCTCCCACACAAAGTTTGCAAGATATGTACCTCAACTAGGCCAAATCAACACTCAAAAAATGCTTTTTCTTTAAAATTCACCTCTGCACGACTCAAATCTACCAAAAATAACTTAATATCATCAAACAACGCAAGAAAATAAAAATCTTTACACAATTTTCCAAAAGTCAACAAAAGTCAACCTCGGACTCACTCGGCCAAAACCCGGGTCCAAAGGTAAATCCCGGTGACCCATAACCCCACAAGTTCATATATGTATTTTTTTTCAAATCCGAAACCAATTCGATTTTCAAAGCACAAATTTTCATTTTTTTCAAAATATAGACAAAAATTTCAAAAAAATTTCTTCGATTCTCATAAATTTGATGTTAAATCTCATATATAATCAGGTAATATAGTTGGAGATTGATCAAAATCACTTACCCAATGATTGTAGGTGAAAACCCCCTCTTTAAATCGTCCCCTCTCGAGTCTAGGATTCTAAAATAGGAAAAATGAGATGAAATCCCGTCTTACCAACCCTTTTGTTCAGGCGCAAATGTCGCATTTTCCATACTGGATTCGTAATTCTGGTTGCTGTCAGCCTAATGGGAAGTCATAATCACGACACTGGCTTCGCATTTGCGAAGCCTGCTCCCATGCAACAAAATAGTCACAATTGCGAACCTACCCAGCCGAGGCACTTCTTCGCAATTGCGATCAAGTGTATCGCAAATACGACACCTGAGGCCCCCGGCTATGATCGCAATTGTGATGTTGATGCTTGCAATTGCGCCACCTGAGGCACTAGCATACTAGTAACCTGGAATTGAGTCCATTCCATTACGAAACACGTCTGAAACTCAACTGAGCCTTTAGAGCTCTAAACCAAACATCCGCACAAGTCTAAAAACGATATACAAATGGGCTCGCGTGATCCAAATTCCAAAATAACATCTTGAACCACAAATCGGACATCAACATGCATGGAACTCAAAAGTAAACTCATGAACCTCTAGAATTGCAACAAAGCATTCGAATCCTATCAAACCAACTCCAAATGACACCAAAATTTGCAGTCAAGTTTCAAATAACAAAACAGACCTATTCCAAGTTCCAAAACTGAATTTCGAACCTGGTAGCCACAAAGTCAACATATGGTCAAACTTAGGGAAACTTCTAAACTTCAAATTGTCAACCTTCGACAAAACAAGTTAAATCAAACTAGGGACCTATCAAAAGCATCAAAATACCGTTTCGAGGTCATTTTACAAAAGTCAAACTTTGGTCAACATTTCCAACATAAGCTTTTAAACCAAGAACCAAAGGTTCCAAATCAACACAAAACCACAAATACACATGTGTCAAGTAGTAAAAGGGAAAAAAGGCTCAAATAGACAAAACGACTGGTCGGGTCGTTACAAGCGAGCAACCCAATCCCAATATCATTTCAATATATGTTGCGGCGAGCAGCCCAATCCCAATATCATTTCAATAACATTAACAACTCAATATAACAAATTCCAAAACCCCAACATAAAAAGGAATTAAAGTGTATAAATCACCAAGGATCTACGAGTACAAACAGAGAACAACCAACAACTCAAATTCACAAAGTACCCTCATATCGTACGCCAACACGAACCTCGACAAGTCATTATGCAAGAATAGCTAAGGGCTCACACAATTGGTTATAACATAATAAAGTGCAACAAGTAAGGTAAAATCAAGAAAAGGTATGAAACAGTAAAGACATTCATTTAATATAGGTGAGAACATATAACAGGTAAAGCAGTTAATAACCAGAGATTGAATAAATAGATACATGTAACAAATAAATGACAAGTAACAAGTAGAGGCAACAATAACAAGTACTGACATGTAACAATCAAAGCATGTAACTAGATATAATATGGAATAAATGATGACATAATGACAAATAGCCCACCCGCATAATTGAACCATGGCAACGCATATACACTTGTCCCCTTGCATATACACCGCTCCCACACACAATTCACATAGCAGGTAGACCAAAAAAGTCATATTTCTCTTAACTCAAAGTTAACCACGACACTACCTCTTTCCGTAACACAATTAACAACCAACCACGTCTTTTCCTTTAGAACAAGCCTCCAAACCAATCAAATCTAACAAAATATTGTTCAGACAATTCAAAATAAACTTTAGCAACTATCCATGAATGAAAAAGGTTTAATCTTGATCATTATTAAAAATCCAACAAAAGTAAATCCCTCGCTTATGCGGTCGAATTCCTAGATTTGGACCAAATCCCGATTACACATTCACCCTTGAGCTCGAAAATATGATTAGTTTTGAAATCCGACCTCAATTCGAGGTCTAAATCTCAATTTTACAAAATTATTCTACCCAAAACCCCTAATTTCTACTTTGAAATTCATAGATTTGATAAAGAAATTCACGAAAAAGTAATGAGAATTGATTAAAAATAAATTTGAGTTTCTTACCAACGAATTTGGGAAGAAAAAACTCACAAGATACTGCCCCAATAGAGTCTAGGGTTGAGAAATGGTGTAAAATAAGCTAACTCCCGAAATTCCCCATTTTTACCATGTTGCAGACTTCGGAATTCACTACAAAAAAAAAACTAGAATTAGCTACAAAGACTGTCGTTAATCTATTGCTAAATTGCATGTAGCTAGCAGAGTTTCTTGATAATTTGTCGCTAATTCGTCACTAAATGAGATTAGCGACGGATTTTTCTGTTTAGCTGCAGAATTTGTTCGTTGCTAAAACCAGATTTTTTAGTAGTGATTGCGAACTCTTATTCTCAATTGCGATGTTCGTGAATGCGAAACACTGATCGCAAATGCGATCGGTGTCACAGTCCCAAATATATCGCAAATGCAACTGTTCTTCGCAATTGCGAAGGACCCCTTCATCGCAAATGCAAACTGAGCTTGCGAAGCTGCCTGCCGCCTGCTCCATGTCACGAATGCGACCACCCGCCTATCTGCAAATGCGACCCTTTCTTCGCATTTGCGAAGTCTTCAGTCCTAGCTAAATTTAACATATGCGAGCCTGACATCGAAAATGCGAGGCTCTCAATTGCGATCAGATCTTCACAACTGTGAGACCTGCAACCTGAACACACCAGT